TAGTAAAAATGTATCAACCCAAAAGAGGGCAAGGAGAAGGAGAAAACCAAGCGGAAACCTTCGGACACAACCATAACCAAGTACCGGGAGTAGACGACACCCGCCCGGACACCTTACACGGATGCGGCGCCCACACTGTAAGATGGTGGAAACCACAGGGGGTGTGATCCACAACCCGACCTAACGGACATGTATCCCTACACGGGTGCATCCAGCAACCGCAATATATTCACGGATTCTGTCTCAACCAGTTCCCCCTGGTGAAACTCATTTGCAGTACGTTCTCTTACCTCACGACAGAAAAATCAATGTCGAAATTCATCGATGGCAAGAGACAAAGACAGAGAACCTAAAAGTCCTGGAAATTAAATGTTTGTAAATAAGCCACGAGTCACACTAAGAAATCACACTACACGCCCATAGATATCTATTGAGCTAAAATCATGAAAAAAATGGAATATCAAAATTTATAGATGAACTTACTAAACTTAGAGGGACATGTACAGCCTCAAATTGAGAAAGAGTAGCTGAAAATCAACTATCCAAGCTTTCTTCTCAAAAATCTAGGAAAAAAAGGACCAAAAAGTTAGACCTAAAGAAAAAGAATACGGATCTGAGATTGATTAAAGAGAAAACACAAAACAGAGAAAATTCAACAAAATCAGAAGCCAGTTGATGGAAAAGCTCTTTCATTCAAAGCAAATAATAACAACATAAAGCAAACGTATACCAAAAAATTGGACTTTAAAACAAAGGCTCTCAGAAGAGGCCGAGAAAGACCCAGCAACTTTACTTCTGGGTGTCTACCTGAAGAACACTTCATTCAAAAAGATACACGCACCCCTACGTTCACTGCAGCTTTATCTGCAACAGCCAAGACGGGGGGGCGACCTCAGCGCCCTCCGATCGTCGACGGGTGAGCAGAGGATGCACACGGTGGACCAGGGCTCAGCCGTAGACATGAATGAAATATTGACGTTGGCGAGAGCGCGGACGGACTTGGAGGGGGTTACGCTCGGTGAAATAAGTCAGACAGAGAAAGACAAATACCATATGATTTCACTTATAAGTGAAATCGAACAACACAAAACAAATGAACAAACAAAACAGAAACAGACTCGCCGATACAGAGAACAAACGGGTGGTGGCCAGATGGGAGGGGGCTGGGCGAACAAGGGAGAGGGATTATGAAATACAAATTGGCAATTACAGAAGAGTCACAGGGATACAAAGCGCAGCGCAGGGAATCCAGTCAGTAACATTGGAATGACTCTGCGTGGGGCCAGACGGGTTCTGGGTTCTAGACGTGTTGGGGTGGCCACTACGCAGGCTGTGTCAATGTTTACTCACTGTGTACACCTGAAACTAATACAATAGTGCACGTCAGCGGTAATGGAACAAAATAAAGAGTGAAAAGTATCTTAAGTAAATAAAATTCTAGGAGTGTGTCTAGAAAAAGAAAATTAAGTATGGCTTTGTATTTTAAAAAGTTAGTTCTTTGAGAACTCGACATCATTAACACGCCCCTAGAATGATAGATTTTTTTAAAGAGAGGAAACAAAGTATCCATATCGGGAATGAAAAATGGACATCACTACAGTGCCCACCAAGGTCTCAGAAGTCCCGCACACACAGTACATGTAACAGTGGGGGGTCCGACTACACTAAGTGGATTGTCTAGACGGCAACACACAGGCTGGATCCTGGACTCCAGTTTTGCAAAATGTTACTTTTGGGGGGAGCTGAGAGGGGACACACAAGCTCTCTCTGTACTATTCTTTTTTTTTTTTTTTTAATCCTCATCCGAGGACATTTTTCCATTTTTTGTTCAGGTGGAGTGGGAGGGAGAGAGAGGAACAGAGAGAGAGAGAAACATCGATGTGAAAGGGACACATCGAGTGGCTGCCACCCGCACAACCGACCAGGGCCGGGGACAAACTGCAACCGAGGTACATGCCCTTAGCGGGAACCGAACCCGGGTCTCTCAGGACCGCAGGCCGACGCTCTAACCGCTGAACCAAACTGGCCAGGGCTGTACTATTCTTTACAACGTCAAGAAAGTCTACAATGAATCTGATAAAAATCTCAATTAAAATGTACTAAGATTTTATGACAACTTTACAGTAATACCTTCAGACAAAAACAAAAAACAAACAAAAAAATCCTGGAACAAAAATGCATCTTACCTAAGTGGGAGAAATAAAAAATCTGAATATTCCCTGTCTATTCAACAGACGCAATGGTAATTTAAAACTTTCGCACAAAGAAATCTCCAGGCCCAGATGGCTCCCAGGTGAATCCTTCCACCACTGAAGAAAGGAGAGTCGGACTATTTTCGGGGATGGAAAAGGGAAAATATTTCCCAACTCGCTTCATGAGGCCGACGTACCTGCCCCATGAAACCAGACGAGGAACTTAGAAGAAAGACATTACCCCCGTGACTGCACCCCCAGGGGTCTGGAAGGTCCCCCTGAAGGAGGGGCCCCACGGGCACCTTCACACGCCCCACGAGTCTGATGCCCCTCAGGCCTGCGCGCCCCTGGGCCCCGAGGCACCGGGTCCAGGTTCTGCCAAGCACAACACAGGCAATGAGGCCGCTTCTCTGAGCCGACTGTTGACGTAACTTCCTCCTTGATTTTCGCACCGGGCGTCTCTAGATGAGAGATGTCACAGGGCCGCCTTCCCGAAGCTGAACTCAGTGCAGCCATGGCATTGCGGAGCCTGACCAGGCCCTGAGCCCCGGCACAGGACAGCAGGAGCCGAGCGGAGATGAGCGGCCTCTGCGAGAAGGGGATGGGGGACCAGCGGTCACCTTGGACCTTTCTGTCCTGGCACTTTCGATGAGGGACCTGCTCCCACCGCTGAATCCCTCACCTGCTTAGACTCATTAATGGACGGGACATGGTCACCTGTGCTCCGGGGAATGAACCCCTACATCTCTGCTCGTTGCACCGCTCGCTGAGGCCTGGGCTTGTTTCCTTGGACACCCCGCCCTGCGCAGGACGGACGTCCGTCCCCGGTCACGGCTGCGTGTCCCTCCTCGGCGCCCCGCCCCTCCTGTGACTTCCCTTGTATCTCTGTCCCTGAGCCCTAAGATAGACATGACCCTTCCGGCCCCGCCTCCCTCACCGGCCCGGGAGCATCTGCAAAGCCCATGACTCTTGCACGCGGACCAGCCCACTGAAGCCCTCGGTCCATCAGTCACTTAGTTACTCGGATCGGTCCCTGTCCCCAACCCAAAACAGAAACGATACTTAGGAGGCAGTTCTACAGGGAACGGCTGCTTCAGGCACATGTCCTCGTGGAGGTGACCACCGCGTCTGCTGGCAAAGCCGCACGAGGCCAGGCCGCTACTGACACTCCTGAGTGCGAACCCCGAGGCCCGGAGAACGGTGGGGGAGCCCACACGGGAAACGCGTACTCACGCCCGAGCAGTCGGACTAACAACCCCACCCCGAACCCCGCAATAATAATGCCGCCGGGACCGCCTTCTTCCTGGGGTATTGGGAGGAGACTAGAGCTGCAAAAACATTTCTTAAACCAAGCACGGTGCGTGTGAAATCAGAGGGGGGTGCTGCTGGTCTAGGACCCCTTCCCGTCTCCTAGCGCCCGGGCACCCCGCTCCCCCCGGCACCCCACCCCTGCCGCCGGCCAGGCGCCAGGCACAAGCTGCCCACGAAGGGCTCAGCCCGCTCCCTCCGCCCGTCCGCCGCACAGGCCCCTCCTCTGGGCTGCTCCCTGTCACACGCCTCGTCCTCCGTCCACGAAGCCCACGGGCTTCGCCTTGGAAGTAAACCCAACCCTGACCCTGCGCGGGGGCCCCCACACCGCCCCTGGGCCGAGACGCGTCCCTTCCCCAGGCACTGCCGAGCCCCCGAACCGGGCCCTGCACCCCCCCCCCCCCGCCCAGCAGCCGCACAGCCCCCCAAGGCCCGCGCCCCTCCCCCGCCAGCCCGGAGGCTCTGAGAGTAAGATCCCAGGCCAGCCCTGCCAGCACCCGACTTCATCTTCTCCGGGCTCCCCTCCCTGACCCTGCTCCAGAGCCCTCGCTGTTCGATATTATATTATATACACGTATCTGTTGATCCTCACCCAAGGACAGTTTTCTCATTGATCCGTAGAGCGAGTGGGACGGAGGGAGGGAGGAGGAGAGTAACATCGATGAGAGACGACATCCTGACTAGTTGCCTCCCGAAGGCGCCTGGACCGGGGCTGGGGATCGAACCTGCAACCCAGGTAGGCGCCCTTGACCGAAAGCGAACCTGTGACCCCCTGGTCCGGGGCCGACACTCTAACCACTGACCCACTCCGGCCAGGGCCATATCGTAAACTGAGTTGTTAACATCCACGTCCCCGACCAGAATCAAAGTAGCGTGAGGGCGGAGACGCACTCTGCCTGGCCGGCTCCCTGGAACCACCCTGCACAGCCCAGTGCGACCTGGAGACCTGTCCTCCCTGGGGCCTCCCGCAGCCTCGCTGCTGCAAGCAGGTCCCGAGGGCAGGGCCGGGTCCCTCGGCGGTGCCCCACGGGGCTCAGGAAACACCACGCGGTGGAACAGAGGCGCACACCCTCCCGGGAGTCCACTAGACTCGCAAATGATTTTTGAATTAGGTTGATCTGAGCTCTACCCTGGATCAATCGGTATCATCATTAATAAATCTGACGCTCGGTGGCTGGACTGTACACTTGTCACATCATCGTGCAAACAGGACGTGGGCAGACGCTGACGTCCCAGGACAGGACTGCTGCACCGGCCGCTCCGGCAGGGACCGGCCCAGCGGCTTCAGGCCGACAGTCTCCCTGGGGCCCTCAGCAGGGGCAGCTGAGCCGGGGTCACCGCCACGCCCACTGCTGCCACCGGGGCCTCAGACTCCTCCCTGCTCGGTTCCGGCTCAGAACCACGCCTGGGTGAGGGGAGGGGAGGGAGGGGAGGGAGGGGAGGGAGGGCCCAGGGGCTCGGGCCGCGGCCCTCCAGCCCAGCAGACCAGTCCTGGCCTACCTTCAGGAAGAACATCCTCCGGCAGGTCCTGCCTCCATCGCCGGCCGCGGGGAGAGCAGGGGCCTCGGGGGACGGCGCCAGGTCAGGCGCGCTGCGGGGCCCGGCCTCCGACGTGTCGGCCAGCTGCTCCGGCGAGTGGAAAAGCCCCTCGCTGCCCTGGCCCAGCGACCCCTCGAGGGGGTCCGGGTACCTCTCGTCGGGGCTGGAGCCGTCGTCACTGGTCTTCGCGTTGCAGAGGATCAGGGACCGGGAGATGGAGCGGAGCTTTGTGGACTTCCTGCTCCTGGCGGAACGGCTGTGCGGCTCCATCCTCAGGGAGGACGTGAGGCCGGCCTTCTTCCGCGGCTGCTCGCGGGCCCTTGGTGGACGGGTGGCCACTGCGCTGGGCTTAGCCGCCCCTTCGCGAGTCCCTGGAGGAGAGAGGACACGGAGGGAGCCATGTGACCTGCTGCTGACAAGGGAGCCGCCCAGGGTCCGAGCTGAGCCGCCGGTGTCCGGTGCCCGAGGAGCAGGACGGACGGCAGGTTGTCCTCAGTGTCCCCCTCCCTTCCGTGCGGTTGACCAAACGGAGTTAGTGACCCCGAGCGGTGACCACCCTCTCCATTCCCACACTCACGGAGACCAGAGCTTCCCAGACAGGGAAACCGAGGCACGGGGCAGGGACACGCAAGCCCCGGGCCAGAAGCAGCTGGCGGAGGGGCGAGGGGTCAGGCACGGGAGGGCGCAGATCCGACAGACCTGGGCCTGTGGCAAGTCTCCCCTTACAGGCCCTTCTTCAGACGGAGATTTACCGGAAATCCCGCCGGTAGAGCAGGTCGGAGGGCGAAAGGGAGACTAAGCTGTACTGCCCCCCGAGACGCCGAGCAGCCCCAAAGACCCCAGGATTCCGGAGCCCTCACTCCCCGGAGGCGCCTACGACTGGGAAGGGTGGGGGCCTGGCCCGGTGCTGAGCTGCCAGGCTGATGGAGTGAACAGGAGCAGCCTGCAAACCTGGGTGCCCACCCCCGGGCCCAAGGTCTCCTCGGCCAACAGCACAGCACGGACGAGGCCCAAGGCGTCCTGCTCCGTCCCCATCGGGTCAGCCCCTCACAGCTCAGGGGTCAAAGACTGGCTTCGCCCAGCAGGGCAACCGCTGGCTCAGCCCGCGGCTCGGCTGGGTGGCAGGCACGGCCCCCGGACCCCGTTGCCATGAGGCAGGTGGCAAGGGGCCCGCGCTGGCTCATGCGGAACTCCGACTCGTGCCCAAGCCACGGAGCAGACCGGCTGCCAGGGCAGCCAGTGGAGCTGGGCCCAGTGGGCCCGCTGCCTGGGCGCCTCCCAGCGCCTGACCCACGGCCCTTCCGCAGACCCGCCCCCACAGAGGTTTCTTCTTAAAGCACCGCTGCGCGTCAGCGACCAAGCTGCGCAGACGCATCCTTTTCCGGTTCGCCTTTTGTCTGTATCTGCGCCTTCACCAGCCACCTGGAGCCGCCGACGGCAACGAACAGAAACGAATGAAGACCTACCCCCGAGTCCACTCTCCGCGGGCTTTGTGTCGTTAGCTCAGTGCTGGCCCCTCTCATCAAGGACCCTCGTCCCTCGTGCCTGTATCCCAAAGCCCCGTGTGCGTCCTTCCATCGCGGACGACAACACAAGCCCAGCCGCAGATGAGCATTTTCCACGACGCAAGTATGTGGGCACCTTGGGGCCAGGACAGGGCTGTGTACTTGGTGGGAAAGTTGGCGACATACCGAATTTAAGAGAGCGGAGGACGTCGGTCCCCTGGTGGAGACCGTGCTAATCCGGGTGGACCGGTTCCAGGAGCGTCTGAGGAGTACTGTCCGATGTGTGTGTGTGTGTTTTTTTTAAAATAAGCTTTTCCAGAGGGACCGGTGACGTCTACAGCCTTGGCTCTCACAGGGGGTGTGGCCCCTTTGGACAGGAGCAAAGCTGGTTTTCAAAAGGAGCTTTGTCATTGTGGAAATGTTTACAAACCCGAAGGAAGAAGCACGGAAGGGTTGCGCAGGAGAAAGCAGAAGGGGACTTCTGTGGGAGACTGCGCTCCCTACAAGCAGAGAGAGCGGAGCGCACAGTGTGTGGCCACATGGCTCGGCTCAGCCCGGCACCGAGCAGGATGGTGACCAGCCGCGGCTCCCGAGGGAACCGATGTCCGCAGAGCTGGGGGCGGCTGGGGCCCTGGCCACCCTCCCAGGCCGGCCACAGGCCAGAACGCGGAACTCCTCCGACTCTGCCACAGACTCCACGGCGTCTGCCAAACAACTGTCACAGTCCCTGCCTTGTGGATCCTCCACAGGACGGCCTTGGGGTCCCTTCCGGAGCCTCCTGGGGAAGCACAGCGGAGGTCTCCAACGTGGCTGAGCTCAGAGAGCCCGCCGCCCTCACTTCCCAAAAGTGAACCTCAAGGACCTGCCTTTCCAGGACACGGTGGGCCGCTCTGCGCTCCAGAGCCCTTTCCCCAAACCCTGCCGGTGTTTGCTCTTCCCCGAACGAACGCCAGGGCTGGACGGGCCGCGCCCGCACGCCAGGGCTGGACGGGCCGCTCCGCCCGCAGGGAGCAAAGGACAGACTCATCATCACAGTCCTGGGGGACCCGTCCATGACGGTGGTCGTCAGGACAAGGACGTGCCCAGCCAGGGACAGGGCTGGAGGGTGAGCGGCTCCCAGACTGCGCTGGGAGCCGGGTCCGTCCGTCCTCCGCCCGTCCTCCGCCCTCGTCCCCTCCCCTGCACTTGCCTCCCTCACGAGCGCGCCGCGCGTGGAGCCACCACCTTCCATCTGGATAAAGCGCTCTCAGCTCGCGGAGCACGCCGCGGGGTGAACAGCCACAGGGGGAGAGGGGACCTGCTGGAGGAAATGTGTTTTACATTCTGAATTCTCCAACAGTGTTTTATATCAAAGGCACTTTTCAAATTGTGGGCGCGCCAGCCCGGGGGGTAGCTCTGCTTGCGCGGCGGGGTGACTCAGAGATAGGAAATGAAGGGAGCACATTCCTGATTCCTTCCCCCAGATTCTGGGTTCTCCTCCATGTAGGCTCTAAGTGTCTCTAATGACACCTTTCTCGGCATTTTTGTCTCTCCTTCGAAGGCAACCACTCGGAAAAGGCACTTTCTCGTCAGTTACGGCTCGCAGATGGTACGACCTCGGCGTGTGTACATTTCACAACTGGGGACCCCGCAGACCTCGCCCATGAATTCCAGGCACCAGACAACAGCTTCTCTTGGGTTTCCGTGACCTCGGAATGGCAGTGAGCTTGCTTCATTTACAAAATACTTACACCACTTTTTATTTGTTTTTTTTTTTTAATCCTCACCCAAGCACATTTTTGCATTTATCTTGAGATGGAGCGGGAGGGAGAGGGGGAGGAAGAGAGAGAGAGAGAAACATGATGTGAGAGAGACGCATCGACTGGTTGCCACCCTCATGACCCCCAACCAGGGCCAGGGACAAACTGCAACCGAGGTCCGTGCCCTTAGCGGGAACCGAACCCGGGCCTTTCTGGTCCGCGGGCCGACGCTCTGACCGCTGAGCCAAACCGGCCAGGGCTACACCACTTATTTCATTTGTTTTCTGATGTTACTGATGAAGGTTTCCGGAACACGAGCCAATAATGGCTGTAGCCTGGGGGTTCTGTGTTTTTCTCTAGACATTCACGGCTATTCCTCGAGTGTTCTCTGGCCACTGGGATACTGACTGCCACGTGTGGAGATCAAATCACGGCGTGTTTGGGAAGAATTCTCACCAAGAGCGGACGTTGTGTGTTCAAGGCCTTGTCAGCTCCTGGGCATGATCGTGGATCAGCCTCTTTCGATTTCCCCGTGCGCAGAGACACTCGTGACGGCTGAGACAAAACCACCCTTTTGTTGGTGCAAGTCTCGCTGATTGCAGCGTGCGGTTCCTTGGAGACAGAGTGCAGCTTCCCTTTAGGGCTTGGCGACCGTCTTCACAGATGCAAAGGGCCTGCGGCCGCCCCGTGCTGTCTTAGGCGCACGGACCCTGTAAAAGGAGTCAGAGGCCAGACATCACCCCCTTCTCTCCAAAAGAGCTTAACGGCGTAGATACGTCTAATCCCCAAGCTCTTGAGGTAGTTTTCCCATAAAAATCTCTTGGTCCTGCGTCACTGTTGAGGTGGTTCTTTGACACTTTCCATTGCTTCCTTGATTTTGGGAAATCTTTTTTCTTTGTCAGTTTTGATCAACCTATATTGTCGTTAGACTGCTCTTTCATCCAGATTTTCATATGTATTAGTAGAGTCCGGCCGGTGTGGCTCAGTGGCTGAGCACTGACCCTGCACCAAGAGGTCGCCGGTTCGATTCCCGGTCAGGGCACATGCCCAGGTGGTGGGCCTGATCCCCAGTGGGGGGCGTGCAGGAGGCGGCCAATGTTCTCTCTCATCCATGTTTCTCTCTCTCTCTCCCTCTCACTTCCTCTCTCTCTAAAATCAATAAAAGGAAAAAAAAAATTTTTTTTTAAATAGAGAGCTGTCCCTTACAGGCTCACAATTTAAAACTTTTTCTCCGAAACAGTGCGTGGTTGATGTTCCTCCTTTTTGCTCTGATTTCTCTTAACCGGAAGGCGGCTGTTCTGTGGGTCCTTTCGAGGGGCCTGTTCCCAGGATTTGTGAAAACATCTCCCCTCTTCAGTTTGCTTTCCAGTGTATTTATTCCCACTGGAGTTTTAATTACTTTTCCCTCCCTGTTTTTCTTATATTTGTTTTGTTCTTTTTTCTGTCTTCTAGAATGTAATGTTCATTTCTCTCATCCATTTTTTTTTCTGTTTTAGAAACGACAGCACCCCATGCAGCGGTCACAGGCTCTGGCTTTGAGTCCAGCGAGACCTGGGTTCAAATCCCAGCCCAATGGTTTCCTAAGTGTCTGGCCTTCGAAATCTCCTTGACCTTCCTGTGCCTCAGTTTTGTTATCTGTGTAATGGGGACAATTGTAGTTGCTACCTCACCGCAACTCTGTGATGATAAACTGAAACACCGGAGGTACGTCCTGTAGCACGGACTGCTGGCTGGCCATGGTTACCACCGTGTCGTCATCACCATTTAAAGCTAGAAATTCCCCTCTGAGTATCCTTTTCACCACAACCCATGAGTTTTGAAATATGATGTTCTCATGGTTATTTTGGAAATAGTTGGTAATGGCAGTGTTGACTTCAATTTAAACCCAGTCCTTTAAGACTGCGTGTTGCTAGGGTTCATTACTTGTGGTTCAATTTCCAAGAGTTATCCTTGCTGTTCTAATTTTTTATTAGAAAATTCCAGTTTAATTGCATCGTGGCCACAGGATGTGTCCCGGACACTTTTTATTTGTTGGAATTTATTGAGGTTTACTCTGTAAGCCAGTGTGTGATGTGACCAAGTGTTTTCAGTGTTCTGTGCACATTTGAAAAGAATGATT